CCCCCCCCCGCCATATTCCCTAGAAACAGGTTTGCCCAGTAAACCTGAGTCTTGACTAGGCTGGCTGGTGAACAAGCTCCCAGGATCCACTTGTCTCAACCGTCCCGGGGTGACAGGCATGCATGGCCATGCCTGGACTTTACATGGGTGTAGAGGATTCAAACTCAAGTCCTCATGCTTGAATAGTAAGATGTCTTACCCACGGAGCCATCTCCCCATCCTGGCATCTTATCAGTCACTGGGGCCATCACCACCAGCTGCTGGCACCGCTGCTCCTGCTTCCCCTTCCGCCCCCCCTGCCTCCCCTCTCCCTGTTTCCCCGCCCCCTTTCCTAGGGCATCCCTTACTGAGTGCTGGCTGCTGTGTGGTGTGGAGGATTAGCTACCCTGTCTCATTTCCACTGAACAGCTCATGTGTGAGTCTTAGCACTCTCAGGTGATGTTTAGAAAGTTGGGGCCTGGAAATTTAAGAATGAGGTAGGAATGGTGGTGCTGGCGTCAGGGGGTCTGGATTGGCACTCTGCTTCTGCTGGCTTGCGGCTATTTGATTGTTACTTCTCTGCACCTGAGGCTCTCAGTCTACATTAAGGACAGTGGAACCTGTGAAAATGAGCATTGCAGGCATTGAAAGACCTTAGCGCCACACTCAGTTCATGTAAAGTGTGATTGCAGTGTGACCCTAACTACCGGGTGACCATTTGTAGGAGTAGGTACTTTTAGACACGTGCAAGAGGACCCTTCTGCTCCTCTTCTACTCTGTGTTTAGATGTGTTTTCCCTAAAGGTGGCTGGACAGTATGGCGCACAGCAGTGGGGGCATCACTGCACAGAGGGAGCATCACATTTTCATCCAATCTTGGAGATGAGCCTGGTGACGGAGGAGGCAGGTTCTGGCGTGGGGAAGCTCTATCTTAAACAGTTGACGGGTCAATGACTTAGGGACAATCAGAGACATTTTTTTCACTCATTGGTTTCCCCTTCTGTAAAGTAGGATCATAGTGCCAGTTCTCATTAAAGAACATACCTAACTTGGGGGTCTCCCAGGGGGAGCCAATTAGAGCACAGGCATTGGGGACTCACCACAGGGTGGATTGTGACTCTAAAAATGCCATTTTAATGCACTGTCCCAAGGCCAGGCAGCTGGAGAGCAAAGGCTTGGGACTCCAGCCAACTAGTCACCCCAGAACCCGTACCTTCCTTGGTTTCACTCTGTTGCTATTGTCACTTTGTAAAATTTAAAGGCAATTTTGTGTTGTGTCAAAACTCAGTTTTTAAAATAATTTGTTTTGTATTTTTATATAGAGTTTGTTCTATACTATATTGGGTGCCATAACTAAGAAAATGTCCTTGTGCCTGGGTGAATTAATGTACACTTCATGAGTGCAGGTGCCTGTGGGGACCAGAAGGTTCTGATCCCCTAGAATTGGAGTTATAGGCAGTTGTGTGCCTTCTGATCTGGGTGCTAGGAACCAAACCTTGGTCCTCTGCAAGAACAGTTAAGTGTTCCTAACCACTGAGCCGTCTCTCCAGCCCCTGGGCACTATACCTTTGCTGTTTCTTTCCTCTTAGATACTTTGGGTTTGCTCTGTTCATCTACTTTGTCAAAGTAGAGGCAGAGTCATGAATCTCTCCTTTCCTTTCCCCTCCTCTCTTCTCGTCTCTTCTACCTTCTCATTTCATCTTTTCTCTGTTTTGGGTGTTGAGGATTGGACCATGCATATTCGAGACAAGAATTCTGTCAGTGAACTACGCCCATAGCCCTTTTATCTTCTCATATAGGCATCTGAGTCCATAAAGTATCTTTTAAGCAACACCCTAGTCCCTTCCCTCAGGGTTTGATATATATGGTATTTTTGTTCAGTTGTAAATCTTTTCTCCTTTAAGAATTACTCGTCTGTTGAGAAGAAGTCTGAAGGCTCCCCGTTCTTCCCATGACAATGAGAGAGCACTTGAAGGTCTTCTGATCCATGCATGTTTAGGCTAACCTTTCCTTCTGGTCTTCCTTTTCATTGAGGACTGTAGTAGATGTGGTCTTTGGAATCTAATACTGCCTTTGAGCATAAGTGATCATCTGGAAGTAAATGATCTCCGGGTTTGAAAAAGATACGTGCCTTCTACCCATCCTGAACTCACAGAAATCCACCGCCTCTGCCTCTCCAGCGCTGGGACTAAAGACAAGTGCTCTTAAGGTCATGCCCAACTTGACTTTTTCTTTTAGTTGCATTATTTTTGACTTCAAACTTTTTGGTATGATCATAATGTGAGTAAAAGGGTATCAATTTTATTCATTTCTGGGGGAATTATTCCTTCAGTATTATTTAGAATCTCTCACAAGAATGCTAAAATTCATCTGATATTAATATAGCCCTGCCAGCAGGGTTCTTTAAAATGATATTTGTATGTCTTTTAATTTGGGGGTGGTCTTTGTATTTTGGGCAAATCCCTGAAAAAAAAATCAGGCTCTGTTTATGATTTATCTGATGTACTAGTTCACTAGTGTTTACTATGGTTCTCGTCCCTCTCTTATTTCACAGTATTTATTCTGTGTGTGTGTGTGTGTGTGTGTGTGTGTATGTGTGTGTGTATGCTTGTGCATGTGTACTTGTGTGTGTGTGCAGGCATGCATGTGCCATTGGCATTGTGTGGCAGTCAGGAGTCAGTCCTTAGGAACTGGTTCTCTCCTTCAGCTGTGGGATCCACAAATGGAATGCAGGTCATTTGTCTGGGGACCCATGTGCCTGGATTTGATTCAATCAGGTTTCCTAGGCAATGTCACTTGTTTAGAGTAATATTTTATGGTAAGCTCTCAATGTGGGACTCTGAACCATTCGGTTGACATGTGTTGGGACCCCAGACTTGTGATGGATGGGTAGATCTTCATTCCCAGAGGAAGCATGTTTTCCTAACGAGAGCCTGAGAGATGGATCCTGTGCTCTTCCTGGCAGAGGTGGAACATTTCTGCCTGTCTTTTGCTTTTGGTGTCACTCTCATGTGGAGGAGTATCAGTCACAACTTTCCAGCTCACACAGGCTCAGACCCTCACCCTTGTTCTCCTATGGCCTCTCAAAGCCAGGCTTCTTGCTCACGGAGTATCCCGCTGAGGCATGGCTGCCATATGTCACTGTTGGCTACTTCAAATGTGGGACACCTTTTGATTTTGACATTTGAGCCAGCCACATTCAAACTGCCTTGTGGTAAAAGCATGTGTTGCTGTGTTTAGAGTGCCTCATACTTTGCAAACACCAGAGTCTAGGATTTCAGATTATTTATTCTGATAAATGGTCATCAATAGGAACTGTGTTGTTAGTTTGAATGAGAGATGTCTCCCATAGGTTCAGGCATCTGGACACTTGGGCCCCAGTTGGTGGCACTGTTTGGAGAGGTTTAAGAGGTGTTGCCTTGATGGAGGAAGTGCTAGAGGAAGTGTGTCCCGGGAGGAGGGTTTTGAGAGCTACAGCTTCATTCTGCTTCCTCTTTGCAATCTCTGCAGCATGCTTGCAGTTTAACATCGGATCTTCCAGCTCCCTGTGCCTGCCACCAAGCCTGTCACTTGCTGCCCTGACTGGCAGCCATGCTGGATTCTTATGCCTCTGGAACTATAAACCCCAGTGAACTCCTCCTCCTGTGAGTTGCTTTGGTCATCACCACAGCCAATAGAACAGTGACTAAGACAGAGGCCTCACCTCTTTTCTTCCTCATCTGTAAATTTGGGGCAATAACAATAATTGCTACGGACTCGGGTGTGCTAATGGACATTCAAATTGAGAAGATTATTCAGTCATCATTAACAATGTCATCATTAGCATCAATAATTTTATTAGTAACACTATTGTCTGTCACCAGGCACTTTTAATAGATCTCCACAGTCTCACTTCTTTCTGAGCAATCCCTCATTAAGTCTTTGAGGATTGGCTGCTACAAAGTTCCTTAGCAGTCCTGTATCCCCAGGCAACAAGCCTTGGTATGATGGCAAAGCATGAAATGCCCTGCAGGACTGGTCATTCTCTTAGCTATATGTGTGTTACTGAGCTATTAGAAAAGTCCCAGCACTTACAGAGGGAATTTTTGTATAATTTTGAAGATCTATGGTTGACTTGTTTTGACCACCAGGATCCAGGATAACTTTTAAGTGGTGATTGTTTTCTGTCCTGGTGATAGAGAGATTCCATTGTTTCCAAGAATCAGATAGAATGAGGACCATTTCCTCCTGCACTGGACTCGGGAGTCCCTTAGGGAAGACACTTCCTGTTTATCCCTCTGGCTTCCCTGTTAAGGGCTTTGCAAACACAGACCTTTTTAGTCCCTTGCTTGCTGCTATTATAAAATGTGAAAGCGAAGCAACCTAAGGGAGAGAGGCTTTATTTTGGTGTTGTTTTCCTT